ATTTATTCTAATAATTTACTTCCCATTATAATTATGGGATTATTGTAAGCCCTGGGCATCGTATTTTAAGAAAGTTTCGTCTAACAAAAAAGATTTCACAACAGACTTCAAGGTAGGTATCTCTGATAGAAACCAATGGGAATAGCGCTGGAGAGCATTAGGATTCTCAGTGGTAAGACAATGAGTCCATAGGTGGCCTAAGTGAACTGATCCCACGCAATCATTTCAGCCAACCAACCAAATATCACTTCAATTAATTTATTTATTATAATTTAACTAATTATTTAATTATTTTTGGTTATTACATTATTTTTATCTCTTTAATTATATTATCTATAATAAATTTTATTTCTATTTCATTTTAATTTACTTATACATATATTATTTTAGTATATTTTAAATCTTTAAATTTAATTGATTTATATTTTGAATTATTTACTTATTTAATTATTTTACTTTGGTAATTTTTTATTAATATTTTGTTTTTTTAATATAATTTTTGGTTTTTATTATATATTTGTTCTTTTTACTTTTATTGTTCTTATATTATTTATTATTTTATTTTTTATTTATTATTTTACTATTTTTGTATTTTATTTCACTTAAGTTTTGCTTAATAATTATTAAATTTTATCTACTTTTATTTTAAATTACTACATTTTACAATTTTATTTTTATTTATTTGACTTTATTTCAATTTAAGTTAATTAATTTTTTATAATTTTAAATAAATTTTCTGTTATTTCTCTTATTTTATTTTACTTTATTTTATTTACTTGATTTTATATTTTAGACTTTTTTTATTATTAAATTTTTTTATTATTAATTTTATTAAATTTTTATTTAGAATATTTTTTAAGATAATTTATGTTGTGTATGGATTTTAGTTGATTTTTAGTTTGTTTAATTTTATATGATAAGTTAAATTTTAATTTTATTTTAATTAATTTTTCATAAACTTTATTTAATTATTAAATTTTTTAATTTTATTTTTTATAGCTCAACATGTAATTTCATCATGTGGAAAGGACAGAGTGGTAAAGAAAATTTATATTATTTGTTTATAAGTTTTCTCACAAAAAAACACAAATGGTTAGGGATGCCACCTTCAGCCCTTAGGCTGCCTGTAAACAACAACAAAGAAGTGTAGTAAACATACAAATATACTAAACATAAAAAAGAGAGTAGGAAACCGTGTACATGCCCAAAAACGTAATTTACTAAACCAATAATAGCAACAAAACATATGAGTAACAAAAACATAAACAAGGAAATAAACAAAACATAACCCGAGGATAAATACAAAATCTACAAGCCAACCACTGAAGCAAAGAAATAGAAATGAAACAAGTCAACTTGCTGAAAGTGAACTTAAAAAATGAAACCAAGAGGTTGAAGAACTTCTTAATACTTGTATTCATACATACGTACATATGTACATACAAACATGGACCAAAGATGCAGCACAGACATTGGGTGAGTGTTTGGAGCAGCAACGCCGACAGATACGCTTGACTAAAACGGCCAGCAACCCCATGTCAAGCCAGTAGACAGCCAGCCAGCCAGGCAGCCAAGCATTTTAAGCAGCCGACACATACCTTGGGGACTTGGCGCTGTGCTGAGTAACGGTCTACGTATTGTTTACAGCTCACAGCAACCTGTGGCGCACTTACCTGTGTATCTATGCTCGGAAAAATTTGTTTTTCCTTTTATTTCTTATATACCGCTTTGTTGCACATAAGACGCAGACTTTTCTTGCAGGCAATTTGGTGCTTTTTTTTTTTTGCTATTAACTACTTGCGGTTTACCTTAGTGCGTGTGGCCTCTTCCGGGTGGCACTTGCCAATACACTACCACCACTTATTGTTTCTTCTGCTATCGGCCTCTACATACATATGTATGTGCTTGGTAGGGGTCTGTCTACTTACAACTTCATTTTGGTTTGAATGTGTCCCTGAGGAGCGTGAAGCAACCGCCGGTGGGCAAACGGACGGCCAACGAACATGCGAATGCAATTACGGTACCCAATCGCTTGTGAGGGATGGAGTGGGGGCGCCATAGTGAAGTTCTGTCGATAAATTGGCTTTAAGCTGAAAACTCAAAGCGCACTTTTTTTCGCTTCCTCATTGCTTTCGCTGCTCTTTAATTGTCTTGCCACATTGCAATTGTGTTGTGGCTCCTTAAGGCTGTTAATGTTTTCAATTCTTTCTATTTTTTGGAGCCGACAAAGAGAAAAATATTATTAACTTGAATTATTTAAAACCTTTCAAACCGCTGTTGTTGCGGGAGGCGCGTACAAAAGGCAATAAAGGGAATATTAATAAAAAAGTTTACGCGTAAAAGCGGAAATTAAATTAAATTATCAATTCAGCCTAAAGCCTGACTATAGTGTGGCTTTTGTATTCAATTAAATATTCCAACTTCTAAAATTATGTGTTATTCTATTTTTCTTTTACAAACAACTTTATTTAATTTTCAGTCTTTTTTTTCAAAACGTAATCACTTAGCTTTATAAATATTTCATTAGCATCTTGAGAGCATATTTAAGCAATTAATCTAGCCAAAACCATATTAAATAATAAATTTCTCTCATTCCTGAAATGAATGGAGAAAGAATTTACAAAAAATTATAATGAAAAAAAAAAAATAAATTTCAATAAAAAGAAAAAAATTCGCTTAGGCATTCCTATTAATTTCTTTGCATTTATTTGAATTATTCGTACATTTTTATAATTCTTAACTCATTAAGGCAGTCATAAAAATGTATGTATGCGACTTATTTCAAAAAAAAATCGAAAAAGTTAATTTTTCCCATACCGGGAATCGAACCCGGGCCTTCCGGGTGAGAGCCGGATATCCTAACCACTAGACAATATGGGATTGTTAAATGTTAACGCACAAATGCTTTACTTGAGCAGCACAAACGAAACTCAACATGAGTGATTCAGTGAAACTGGTATACATAGAAACGAGTACACCAAAAGAGAGACCGTATACGAGCATAATTTACGTGCTGCATATATATCTAAGCTGAAACGCAATATAAGTTGTGTACTTCGTAGATATGTATATACATATGTATCTTAGCTACGTCAGAATATATCTATGTTTATCAGAGCATTATAGCTACCAACGGACATACATATGAATGTACGCTCACCGCAGCACGGTGGTGATATGTGTTCAATGATTTGTTGTTGTGTCATCTAAGCAATACTTTTTTCACTTAGGCTGCAACTACCCAACGAGCGTACCAGCCGTCCATAGTAACCTATCTTATGAGAGCACCATGTAAACACAAAGTTGTCACCGATTTACCATAGCGTTGCTGACGTTTGTGTCGCAGAAACCAACGAAGTTTTGATTTTTCCGTAAAACCGGCTCGGCTCATTTTTCGTTGCTATACAAGGTTGCCAGTATAGCCTTTCTTAAAGTAACATT